ATTCCTTTAACCCTTCCACGGGAAACCAGAACACTTCTCACATCGTGCTGCAGACATTGTAGCCTGATGCCCGAGAGCTGCGTCAGGATGTGCGGTGCACACGTGATTCAGTTATGAATTCACACAGGGACACTGGAATCCTACAGACCAAAATCCACTTGTCAGCAGGAGCGGTGGCCCGGGGCCCAGTGCCAGTGGTCTTCCGGCTTGTTTGAGGGCTGCCGTGTCGGGCGGGGAGAGCCAGGCCAAGGGTCCAGGCTGCTTTAGTCCGTCCGTACCCCACGCGTTTGGGGACGGGTGGTTTTTCTTTATTGTAAAATTGTGGACTTTTAAAACCTGTTGACTAAACAGTAATTAATTTATATTTGTGAAAAATGCCACTGTCCTAGTGATTTCTGATGTAAATAATGTTGTTTATATAGTATGTATTAAATTTTCCTACATTGTAAAACTGCTGTACTTTTGATTCTTGTATATTAAAAAGTGTTACTAAGGATTTTTAGAATCGGGCGAACACTGTTACGTTGCGTGGCGTCGGCGTGAACTCTTGACTGGCTGCACCTCTGGCTCCTGCCTTCCCTTGGCCGCTGGGTCCTTCAGACTGCTTGCTGGCTTCTGAAATGGAGCCTCTTAAAAGTCTCATCGTTTTTCCTTCCGGCACCAGCTGTGGCGTTGGGCCTGGGACCTGACCACCGCAGGTTTCTGAGATTGTCTCTGAGCAGCCCCCGCCGTAGGTAACAGCCCCTAGCTGAGCAGCTCGAGTCCTCAGCTCGCGTCCCTGCACCGGGCGGGGTGAGGAGGGATGAGCCGGAGGAGCTGCAGCCCCTGGTGGAGCAGAGCTTCCCTTAGCTTCCCACGTTGCTGGTGCCGGGGATGGAGCCCGGGAAGGTGCATTTGAAGACCCGTGTTGTCCCGCACCGCCCCCCATCCAGAGGAAGTGAAAACACCGTGTCTGCCAGCCCACTGCCTTGAGGGTAATTTAACAGTTGGGTTATATATTCATGAAGGGGGAAAAAAGGCATTTTATAATGGAAACACTGACACAAATGTTAACTCTAGCAATTTGGCACAGTGGCAGGCTCAGCCCCTGCGAGGCCCAGACGGAGGAAGCGTGGCACAGCCCGCGGGTGGAGATCCCGTCTGAGTAGGAGTTGGAGTTTGCCAGACCCAAGGGGTTTTGCTAGTACTTTGGGGACTGCAGAACCAAACTCCGATCTTTGCAAAGCTCTTAATTCTTGATACCAAATAAACCCGTGTGTTCGGTCAGTTAGCTCCTGTGACTGTCAACCCCGGAGGCTTGGTGGCAGGGGCCCTCGCTCATCCTGGTCTGGGCGGGAAGGAGAGGCTGGGATTCATAGCGCCTAGAGTTCTTGAGTCAAAGACTCAAGAGTTGAGGGTTCTTCCTGCTGATAACTCGATAAACCAACTAGCAATCGTGTTGCAACTCACAGCTCGGCTGGAACCGCTTTGGGAAACTTTAAAGCGCTGCAATAATCAGCTTATGATTTACAATAGCAACGCGGCTTCTAAACCCATGGCTGCCAAGAAGCCTGCCTTTTACTGGAAGAAGCAGGCCCAGGCCCCCTCCCTGCTCCCTGGCGGGGCCTCGCACGTCTGGCATCAAAGCAAGTCCTCCTCAATTAGCACCAACGGAAAGGTCACTTATTGAAACACAAGGCCCTGCAGTTTGCCAGACGGGTTTGGACTCGGGATTCTAACCTGTGGCTCTTAAAGGAGCAGCACCAGGTCTACCTTCGAGGCCCCGTCTTAGTGCCCGCCCTGCGCCGGCCCTGCCCGCCACACCTTGAGGCTGGAATCCCGCTCGGCCCGTCGACTCCCAACCTGCCTGTGTATTTGTTCTGTTCCCTGCCTTGGGGAAGAGACGGAGTCCGACCCAATAAAAGCTCTTGGCGCTGTAGAAATCAGGCCCCTCATGGTGCTGGGGGACCCCCCCTCCTTAGGCTTGAGGGCTGGGTGTTTCCCGGTCGGTTGTGTGGCCATGAGATCTGGTTTTGTGCAGGAACACGGGCGAGTCTGCGACCTGCAGGCTTTCCCCCTCAAAAGCAGGCAAAATATTCCCCTGCTTGGGGCCAGCTGCCCCATGGAGGGTTCGCCCTTGGTATCTTTTTCTTAAAATTTTTTGTGACCCAAAAGGGGATTGTCATTGCTACAGCGTGGTCTGCGCTGACCCTGTGCACCATGGTGGCCTTGGGGGGGCCCACGGGGTCTACAGGGGGCTGGCAGGAATGGCGTGCGTTGTCTCCCTTCGGCCACTCCCTGTGTGCAGTTGGGCAGGTGGCCTGGGCATCTTCATTTGCACACGAAGGAGCTGGCTTCTCGGGTTCACGTGGTTTTACCAGGACAGCGCGGTGTTAGCTAAAGGGCTGTAAACCGCCCCCTAAGACCTACCCAGAGGGAGACAGTGTTCACCAGTCCCTGCTGGGAGGGCGGAGGATGGGGACACTGAGGAGGGCACCTGCCCAGCCCAGAGGGCAGCCTCAGCTTAGCATTCGGCCCCAGCAGCCGTCAGCCCAGAACCTTCCAAGACCGGCAGGGCTGCTCCTCTCGGATCCCAGCTCACTGGAGGGGCCCAGGAAGAGGGTTCTCTCTAGGAGGAGATTAAACCCCGGTAGGAAGGCCCAGCAGGGAGCTCACCGTGCCGTGGGGACTAGACAGTCACAAGAGAGAAAGTTTTTCCCTTGACCAAGATCTTGAGCGCCTCCCGTGGGCCAGGCCCTGTTCTGGAACTGGGGACGCACATTCGGCAAACGAGGACGAGGGCCCCACCCTCTGAGCTGAGGGTTGGCAAGGCACACCTAGACCCAACAACAGGACAAAATGTCATTTAAGCGCCAAGAAAAGAGGAGATGGGCATAGGGACGGGGGGCGGTCGGGGAGGCATGGGTCTAGGAAGGGGACAGAGCTGGGTTTGAACCAGCCGGCCTTCTCGGGCTTACTCTCCCTCTGCGAGCTGCAACTACAGAAGTCGGATAAACGAAGTTTGCCGGGCTCTGGTGGAGTGAGTAAGGTCACGGAGGGTGGGTGAGATAGGCTTGGCACCTGTCGTCCTTCTCAGAGGTTGGTGTTGAGACATCCTCAAGCCCAGCGGAGACCACTCCGGCCACCAGAGCTGGGGGCCTACCCCTCGTGTTTGGAAGAGGGGCAGTTAGTTCTTATCCCTTCCCGGACTGAGGGTCCTGAGTGAATGTGGTTCTGGAATCTTCCTGCAGGGGGCAGCAGATTTCCATAAATAGCCTGCCTCGCGGCCAACACTTAAGTTTACAGAACCCCCAGGAGAGGCTCCCCGTCACTCCTCTGGCCTGGCGGGCGGCCTCCCTTGGCCGCAGAGCGCACGCGGGAGCCAGGGGCGGGGAGCCACCTCACCCCTGCAGGAAGCGTGACGCGGGATGGGGGAGAGGAGAGGCGGCGGGACGAGGCCAGCCTCACCTGCTCCAGCCGCTGGAGGCCCGGGGGGGGGGGGGGGGGGTTGACCGGCCGTGGCCCCGCCCTCTCCGTCCAGGCGGCCCCTGATTCACTGACACAATGGTTGGGGGACGCGCAGGTTCCTGCTCCTTCGGGGTCCGGCCTCGCCCCCCTCTCCCCTCCGTGTGGCCGCTAGAGGGACGTCCTGAGCCACAAGGCCCAGGCACCACTGCAGCTTCCCCGACCCTCCGCTTAGCTCTAAGCTCCCAGGCTTGGGGCCGAAGCCCTCTGTGACCTGCCCTTGCTGGTCACTCTCCGGGAGGTTCCTAACTGCTCTTGCATCCTCTTGCAGATACTCGTTGCAGAGCTTGGTCTCCAGGCTGCGGTCCCTCTAACCCCTCCATTACCTGCCCGGGCCTGACGAATCTCCTTCATCTCCAAGATGCAATTCAAAAGTGGTTTCCTCTGAGCAGCCTTCTCGGCCCCTGCTGTTCCCGTTTCCGTTCCCGTCTGTCCCTGCCCTGTGCCCACAGATGCCATCAGAGCCCCGGCCCACCCTGGTGCCTCCACTTTGTCACAGCTGTGGCCTCCGCGTGGGCCGTGCAGGGGCTGGTCTTGGAGCCGTGTCTTGTGAGATGCCCAGAGAAGGGGCCCTGGGGAGCTGAGCAGGTGGGGGCTCAGACCAGGGTTTCCATTTTGATGAACATTTTAAAGAAGTAATTTCAGCAAACCCTGGATCATTTGGAAGAGTGGGAAGGAGAAGAGAACCCAGGACTCTAGGGTTGTATCGGAGCCAAGGGGTCAGTGCTCCTTACCCAAGGGGACAGGGGGACGCACGGTGACAGGTTTCACAGGGTCCAAAGACTGAAAAGTAGAGGGGACCCGAGTCACTCCCTGGCACCAATGACAGGGGCCTGGACAACCCCACCTTCGTCACATGGTTTTGTAGTTTTGTTTGGGCTTGATTAGTAAACGTGTCTGAGGTTTATGGTTGAAAGGAGCTATAATTACAATTTATTACAATTAAAAATTTATATTTAGCCTCATGAATTATAAAAACTCCAGCCATGGAGGAAGGGCCTGGAGAAATATTGTCCCCTGGAAGGGGTCTGAACATTCGCCAGGTATGTTTGGGAACCCTGAGCTGTTCGTGGCTTAGACTTGACAGTAAATGAAGCCACCCAGGGGGATGCACCTGTGAGCAGAGACCATCATCTGCTGATGGCTACTGGGGGTCGAGCTCTGGGCCCGGCCCATTGCTTTCTTGTATTTTAATAATCTCGTCTTCATAAATGCTAGGAGGCCTCGAGACTTCAGGTCACACATCCAGGAGAGTGTTAGAACTTGGACTCCACCCCAGCTCCTCCCACCTCTCAGGGCCACCTTGTCACTGCCTCTTTCAATGGCTTCCTCCACCGTCACCCAAGCACCTTTGCACGCGTGTCATCGTGTTCCAGCAGGCCCTGTGACTCAGTCCTAATCCTTCCTGCAGGGGTGAGGTGGGGGATGCTGCTGTTGTCCTGTAATGCCCAGGGGAGAGGGGCCCTGGCCCTTACCTTGGCATTTGGTTTCTGGTGGTCCAGGCCCCCAGCCCTAGACCTGAAGGCCACCCGGGAGCCCTGCGAACCAAGCCCCCTCTCTTGGATGGAGCCTGGGCTTCAAGCCACCTGAACTCCAGGAGGGAGGTGGCCAGAAGGGGGCTCCACTATGATAAATCAGCGTTTGGATCAAATATTTGGCAGGGTGCCTGACACATGGCAGGTGGCCAAAAAACGTAGCTGTCATGCTGGGGTGACTCCAGTCCCCATTAAAATGGGGGTGGGGTCTATAGCAGCAGCTGGATCATGTCTGGGATTGCTAAGAAGGCTTGTTTCCCCACCTGGGGAAGCTGATGACCACCCCTGGACCATGCTGACCCACCCTGGCGCCGTCTCCTTCTGGAACCCCAAGCCTCTCAGACTTCAGATCTGAGGGATCATCTCTCCCATCCTTCCTCTCTTCAGGGTCCAGGTTTGAATTCCCTCTACTCACCCAACCTCCCGGCCGTGGTCTAACCTCACTCCCTGCCAACCCAGGACCAGAACCCTGGATTGACTCCACTGAGCCCCTTCTCTGCCCTCGAGGGAAGAGTAGGTAGGTGGCATGGGTGTGGGAGTTCATCTGGAAACTAGGCCATGGCATCTACCTTCTGGGGTGTCATGAAAATTGTCAAAGCAACTGCCAGACTCGAGGTCAGGGTCGTATGTAGGTGTTTGCTCTTCAGGAGGAGAGGGTGCGGGAGGTGCTGTGATTGTCCTGGTGGAGGTAGCTGATGCTGAGAATGAGGTTTTGCATCTCACCCCTGCCATGGTGAGTAGGTTCGACCACCACTTTAGACAGAACAGACGCATCAGGCCTTCAGCGGGCTCTGTCTGGTTCCTGCGGGAGGGAGGCATGAGGTGAGCAGGAATGGGTTCGAGTGCGGAAGAATCCATGAGCGGTCCCAGTGTTCCTCTGGACAGGGTGATGTGGCTGCCTTGGCCTTGGGGTCTAGGCTGCCTGGGATGGCGTCCCCTGATCCCAGAAACACCCCCACCACGCCACGCCTTGTACACGCGCTCCTGCCATCTCTTAATTAAGTCCGTTCTGCTGGGGGCCTTCCTGAGAGTGTTCCTTTCTGTTCCTCTCCTTCAGGGCATAGATCTGGGTCACAGGCAGGAAGTGATCAAATGGTCAAAAGTGCAGAAAGCCCGGGAGGATGGGGAAGGTAGCTGAGGGGAAGCTGTTGAAACAGGTAGTGGGGTTCCTGGCCCACAGATTCAGGGGGGTGGGGCTGATTCCCCAGGGAAAATGGGGGCCTCCATGGAATTAGAGGTCCTTAGACTCCTGCTTAGGGCATGTAGGGTTCCCACTGACCCCTGGCCAGAACACCAAACTTCTCCAGCCAAGGTGGGAGCTGGACAAAGAACTCTTCAATTGTTTCAAGAGTTGGACAAGTAAGGCTAATCAGACCAAAGAGATGTGATTTCTGGAGCATCTCTGAGAGATGAACCCATGGCACAAAGTAGGGTCCCTGCCCTTAGTGTCTGGTGGGAGAGACCCACGTGTGAGGCTAGAGGGTGGGACTGTCCCGATCTCAGTCAGCCTGGGAGCAGGAAGGGCCAGGGGCCTGCCTAGCGTGCTGGAGCTTTCCCCTGGACACCGGCTCAGGCAGTGAGCCCACGAAGGCTGTGTGACCCAGTGGGATGAGAAGGGGAGGGAGTGGATGCTTGTTGGGGTGTAAGGCTTGCTTGGGGCGTGCTCCCTATATTGTTATTTCTTGCACCAGTCTTCCCAAGCATCCCTGCAGGAGGGCCACCACATTCCTTGAGCGGACAAGGATACTTAAGTCCCGGGTCACGCAGCCAGCAAGAGGCAAGTCCAGGAGTGGGACGGGCCTCCTTCTAGCCCACGGAGGCTCCTGCACACCAGCCAGTAGCTGTGGGGAGTCGATAACGCCCCTCCCAGGGGTTCCTTGCTATTCTTTGAATTTTCCGTTTTACAATTTTAATATCATTTTCCCCATCACGATCAGAACTTTGGTCCCTGCCTAATTTGGTATTTGGGGTAAGGCCCCATCTTGGGGAGCCCAGCTGTCCTTTTCCAAGCATATGGCCTTGGGCCCCCCTGAGGTGTGGGGCTCCTGAGATTCTCTGCTGGAGCGTGGCCTTGGGACTAGCCACCAAGTGACATCTGCCAATCTTACTAACCACAGCACTGCAACCAGCTTGTTCAAGGACAACACCTTCCCTTTGTTCTGGGAGTTCCTTTTATGAGCCCTGCGCTCTGTAAACATTTGGTCCCGGGCAGTGTACATCGTTTAATTTAAGTTTGAAAGACAATCCAGGGGCGCTTGGCTGGCTCAGTCTGTTGAGCATCTGACTCTTGGTTTAGGCTCAGGTCATGATCTCAGCGTCAGGGGATGGAGGCCACCCACCGGCTCTATGCTTAGTGGGGAGTCTGCCTGAGATTCGCTCTCTCCCTTTCCCTCTCCCTCTGCTCCTCCCTACGCTCAAAATAAAGAAATAAAATCTATGATAATGATAATAATAATTAAAGACAACTCAGCTGCATGTGGTTTCCAATGTGTCCCAAAGTAAAATTTTGATTTTTGTGTCCCAGACGCGCTCCTCCGTGGCTCAGTGAGTGGCGCCACAGTTTACCCAGGCGCTCAGCACCCACCCCTGGTTCTCCCACGCGCAAACCCGGCCTGCAGCTCCATCGTGTTATGCCCCGAAGTGGGTCATTCGTGGCACCCCCGGCACCCCCCCGCCCCCATCCCACTTCTGACTAACTCCGTGCCGGAGCACCCGGCTTCCTCTTTCTCCCTGGAAGGATTCCATTAAAACCCAAGCTGGACACCTCCCGCCCCTGCTCACAGCGGCAAAGGGCCTCCTCTGGCAGCTGGAACAAAACGTCAAGTCTCCGTCCCTCGCTGGTGGGCCTGCAGTGCTCCCTCCCGCCGCTCGGCAGCCTCGCCTGGACCCCGGTCCGTGCGCTCAGGCCGTCCAGTCCCATAGTTTCCTGCTGCCCCTCAAACGCCGCCGCTGGCGGGCCAGGCCCTCTGCCCAAAAGGGTCTCCACCGCTCTTTGCCTGGCTCGTCCCCCAAATGCACGCAGCTGATCTGCTC